TGGAGTGACCACTGGCTATATGCTTGCAGGGTGGTGGGTCTCCAAGGACAACTTCTAACCCTGTTACAGGCAACACGTGGAGTGCAACTGGCCGTGTGGCATAGCTGGCTCTGGCCTTGAGACTGTGTGTTTTTTATACAATTCATAAATGGGACACTGGACTGTTTTATCTTTTATCTCTTGATATTGTTTTGTCAATAAATTATCTTTTAGAATTTTATTGACTGTCATCTTTTTGCCCACGACAGAGACGGTTGATCAGACCTAGAGTCTGTCTTTGGGTGTGTGATAGATAGATAGATATCTATAAGACATACCTGAAGCACTGGTAAACAAATCGACTAATTTTACTTACTTATCTAGCTCAGTGGTGTCAAATTTAATTCATGGACTTCACAGAGCTTCATCTACTGACTTGACCAGTAAAACAACTGCATAATAATCTAAAAATGAATAAATCAAATAAACATTTTTAAAATTCAAAATTCTTCCCATTTCTTCTAGAATAGGTTTTAGCACATTCTGAAAACATTTACATTCCATAAAGCATCTTGCAGATGAACAGTCTGAGATGATGAAGAAAATGACATGCCATTGCAACAAAAGGCCTCAGGGTTTTTTTTTTTTTTTCGCATTAAAGAAATGCTGTTATTGTAGATAAAGAGAGCTGTTAGCTGGACTCCTCGGGTTTTAACCACAATCAAGGAAGTAAATGTCTAAAGTTACAGATACAGTACTAGTAGTCCTTTACCTGGACTTTGCTCCATAAATAAAAACAAACAGGACAGTGGATGTACTGAAACACAAGCAGGAAATTTTCAGTGATATAATCAAATATTTGCTGGAAAAAACACCTAATTTTTTGTTTTGTTTTTTTGTTTTATCTCTGGCAGGCCATGGGAAATATCTTAGACGTCTATAAAATGAACACTTCAGACTAATTTTCAGACCTTTCATCTGGTGGCTATATGGGTCTGTTCTGGCGCTTTGGCCACATATTTGAGATCCCTGGTCTAGATGTATGATTTAATTCATTTGTTTGTTACAACCTTACGCTGCATGTCATGAAAGCTCATTCTTGCATAAAGTAATAAACGCCAGAAACATTCAGTAGCAAAGTAAGTTGAAATAAGCAATCTGAGCACTGTTTTATTAGTAGAAAGCATATATATAATACTTTCACACAATGCTTTTTCACTATTTACATTTAAAAAATTAAAGCTGTATTTTGTATCTGTGTTTTAGACTGAATGTGCACAAAACCTGAAAAATTGTGAAGAAATGTTTAACTGTCCATGCACTTCGTTGAGCCATATACTGTATATATATATATAGTATTCAACCAAGTATTTAACAAAGGATTTAGATTTATTTTGGCATTTTGCAAAGATACAAAGATTGAAAAGATTGGCCACTTTTTCTTTTCATTACAAGTTTAAGGAAACAAATCTACATTATAGGAGGTTGTAACAACATAGTCACATTAGGGGAGTCACAAGTTAACAAATTTCCTGTCATACCACGTAGAAGATGTCTGTTAGATAACAATAAGAACTTCAATTTATAGCATGCTTTAATTATTTTTCCCACGGTCACAAAGTTTCAAATAAGCAGCTTTTGGAGGCCTCTAAGGTCTGACCTTCCAGTGAATCTAACTTTGAATATTCAAGCTTTCCTCACTTTTCCTTATACTGTAGCTTCCTGTAGCTTTTGTTTTCCCCAGTCTGTTCACTTGTTAAAGGTTACAGTATTGTACAATGGCTCACTTGTACATTCAATAGTGTAGAAGACTCTGGCAAGTAACATCAAATTAAAAGATAACACACCACAAATGTCCTGAAACTAAAGCGAGCCCAGCAGCTATTCCTCAGCCACCTTCCCAGTGATCCTGTAGACCTCTGTCGGCCCCTGCTCTCCACAGGTCAGCTGTGTCTCTTGGCTCTCGGGCTTGTCCGTCATATCTGCAACATAATCTCAGATAAACACCTCCAGCATATTTACAAAGCAAATATCTCTCGCCATCGGTTTGCTAAACTGGATTCTGACCAAACAACAGAACTGTTACGCACCTGTGTGTTGAGTGTCTCCTGACTTCTTCCCGTTGTGCTTGTGTGAGGGGGCATAGAGGAAGATAATGGTAAAAACGTACAGGTTCCACATGCCATAGATTCCTGTAAGAAAAGCACTGTGGACTTGGAGAGTGTAGTCTCCCCAGTGCCAATGACCTTCGCTGACCTATTTGAAAAAATAAGAATATTTGAAATAATTTTTAAGAAACCCAAACATGTCCAAATAACAAATCATAAACATATTTTAAAGAAGAACAAACTGCAATTAAAACTGCTGCTCCTTAGAAGGCTAAAACTTACTTGATTTAAGATGAAGAAGATGATGGTGAGAGCAGCACATGTGAGTGTTGCCAGCATTAAAAATTTAAACCTGAAAATAATACCCTGGGGGGAAAGCACACCTACAGTCAGTAAAGTAAGTAGAATTTCTGCATAATCTAGTGAATGAAAAGCTTTTTCTTTTTGTCAAATTCACTACTTTTTCTTATGTGATTTTGATATAAAGTTAAACCTTATAGCGCAGTCTCCGAGTCTCTGGCATTGTAGGAAGCTGTTGCATTTTCCCACTAATGGTTCTGAACACGCAGTGCACCATGCGACACAGGGAGAAGAAATAAAGGCAAACAGAAATCCCTGCCACAATAATGAAGGTAATATGTGGTTTCAGATAAGAAAAAAATCTTGGATGTTAATGGTAGCCTGACTGCTGAATTACTTTTTATAATAAAGAATAGATATTTGAAGGATACTGCAACCTTACTCCTGGATTCTGACGCCCACACACTGTAGAATGGATTGCTCAAACGAACCCCCCTTCGGTAAGAGAGAAATCAACTTACTTTTTTTTATTAAATCCACACTAATAACACAAAAAATGAAAAACATTTACCTTTCACTCAGGTCAAATATGAGAAGAACAGAAGATCCAAACACCACAAGCCCAACTTGCCACCAATAAGCTGAGAGGAGATTCCTCTGACGTTGGTCCTGGTGATTTAATGAATGAAAGAATAAGTAACAACTGGCAGGAAGGTGCAGAGAAATGTGCAAGCAGCAAAGAAAGACCTGCTAACCATGAGGTGTTCACCACAGAAGATGATCCAGAAACAGAAGAGTACAGAGTATAAGGCGCACTGCTGGGCATCTTCAAACAGCAGCATCCATGTCCACTCAAAGCCCATGGACAGCCACTCCACCGGCATGTCCAGGAAGGCCATTGAGAGGCCCAGAGCAAAAATCACCCTGAGCAGGACGAATACATCAGTGAAAGAAACACTTACATCCACTCTAACAGACAAATAACTCCTTCTGCTCTATTGCAAATGGAGAAATGACCTAGCTCTAGGCAATCATGCACTTAGTTCAAACACTTTTCATTTCCTCTGCTTGGAAATGCTACACAAAAGTATGTTGGACTTCTGAAAAACAAGCTCTTAAAAGTATGCCAGAAGGTTTACTTGCAGTTTTAAGTTCTCATTGAGTATAAAAGAGCCAGGAGCTCCTTACAAGTAGCTGTATTGTATAACTTCACTCTACCTTTTAAATAAGATGATTTTGTTTCAGTCTGCAATAAAATCTCAATAAAATCAGTCCGCAGAGGCAGCAATCGCAACCTAAAGTGCTCAAAATTAAATATTCTTATTCTTATTAGTGGTAGTAGGAGCAGCAGTAGTAATATTATTATTATTATTATTATTACATTGTTTTTTATCATTTGAGAAATTATTAAAATTCAACTCAGTATTCTGACATAAAATTCATAAATATACTTAAATGTTAAAATGTCACTCTTAATCTCTCTTTCCACATGCAGGCTAGCCAAAACATACTTTTCCAAAAGGACCGGAGGTCTCGCCAAGATCCGAATCCTGTACCAGTACCAAACTGTAGCCACTGATATCCAGGGACTGAACACAGTCTTCATGCTGATCCACACTTTGGTGAAGCCTCCATTCTGGTGGATGCCCTGAGGAAGAGGAGGGACATCAGATGTCAGAGTGCCAAATTTTTAGCCTTTGGAGATTAATTCAAACACAACATGCCGTATAACAGAAGTTAACATGTAGAAATTATACTCACCACTACATGGATGTCCTTTATTTCCCCGATGCCAACGTTCATTGTGTCATTCACTGGCAAACGCAGGTTCATTAAAAAATATTTGTGGGCTACACTTCCCAGCTCCATGAATGGTATTGGGTCACAGTGATAAAAGCGCCCTTCGTTTTCATACGTCTGAAAAAAACACTGGGTTTTTCCTCACTAAGCAGAGAAAAGTGTAACTATTTCTCATTTCTGTGTATAACATGAAGTCATGCAGGTTTACCTTGGATACTGCAAATGTGCATCTGAGTGGCCTTTGCTCCACCGAGTGAAATTTTGTGGTCCACTCAGACGTCATGTCGTCCCTGTACGCCAGACGGGCATCGATAGTGATGACCACATCATCTTCTACACAGGCAGGAAAATTGCTCATTTTATTAGAAACCCACTGTAACTAGGAAACTACGCTATTTACATTTCTGACAAAGACAAGACACACAACTTACCAATCTGATTTATCATTTTGAATGCAATGTCAAACTGCAGAACAGCCAGCATGTATTGAAACCACGGACTCATTTCAGTGTTGGGTAGGGGTACATGCACAGCAAAAACAATGTCGTTGGCATCGAGTGTTTTTGCCAGAGGGTCGTCAAAACTGTGGACCTGCTGGCATCGATTTGAGCCCCATGGCATGAGCCAAGCACGTGTCCTGTGGAAATTGATGCATTTGGTGGCCAAGTAGCTGATTGCAGTGGTAGGACTGGGAGCTATCATAAAGGAAATCAGATATATATTATGAAAAAAGACGGACTAAAGCTTAATCATTAAGAGCATTGGGAAATTTTGTTTTTCAGAGCGCTTCCAACACAAAAAATAATGTTAATTAGACTTCATTTTCCTAAAATTGAAATCATTGAGGGCTATCCTGCATTTACAATCAAGCTGAGTAGCTCAAAAGCACACAAACAATAAAAAAAATATACAGTAGGTGCAAAGAAACTCCATGCAAAAACTATAAATATAATTAAATATGGAAACTCTACAAGATAAAAGATGCAAAACTGCTCACCCAGGTGTAGAAACAAGCTAAACTGCTTGCAATCAAGAATTTAAATTAAATAAATGTTTAGTTTTTAGAATACATAGAAAATAGAAAACAGTGAGGAAATAATTGAGAACATTAAAGGAATGTCGCCAGCTTTCATTGGCTGGCTGAGTAGAATCTGCAGTGCAGTAACATCTAAATGCACATAACAAAGATTGAATAAGATAAATTACTCCAAATAATTATTAGAAAACATTATTTGCAAATAAATGTAAAAATATGTTTTAAAAAAATCATCTACTTACATATCAATGCTCCAACCAAGATGGAAAATATTTGGAATAATAAAATGAAGAAAACAAATAAAACCAACTTTTTAGTGCTCATCTTCTCTATGATCGCTCCTGCCATTTGTAAAAAATATTTTGGGTAAAAAAATATAAAAAGAAAGTGTTGTCCAGACAAGCCAAGTGCTCCACTGAAGCTCATCTACCTGCTCACACACATCTGACTCTCATATGGGATACGCCAGACATTAGGCTCAAGCAGAGCATGTGCAGAAGGGACAGGAGGTGGAATCATTAGGCATTAAAAAGATCAGAGAACACTGGTCTATAAAACATGATTCCTTTATTGCTTAAAGAATACAACTTTGTAGTATAGGCAAGTGAATGTGTATCACAACTAGGTTACTTATCTTTACACTGAGGATTGACCACAGTCACAATGCAAATGTTTGATACTGCACCCAAGGAAAAGGGAAATAACAAATCTGGCCTCGATATCAAAGCGTCTTACAAAGTTATAGGTTAATAATATTTAACATTATTCACACTGATCTGGAGTCAGCAATGAGAACCACAGTAGCACCTACACCTTAAAAAGAAAACAAAACACGAACTCTGGGCTGTTAGTCTATCTTTGGTTCTATCAGACAAAAATATTCAGTTTTTCAAAGGTGCAGCTAAGAACCAATACTGTGTGTAGTTCAAGGTAGAAAGGAAACAACATAATGTTTCTGAATAAGCTAAAACAAAAATGTATTTTTCATTATCTAATAGTACAATTTCAATATTCACTCCCCCTCAACTCTTCCACTGTCGAACAAATAACTCCACAGAGGGGTAAAGAAAACCCTTTTTGACAAAATGGCAAAGACAAGAGAAGAGGAATTAGATGCTCTGGAGTCGTCAGGAGCGATTCACCTACACCACTGATTGTTATCTAGCACTATGGTTGACATAAACAAGCTAGTTGGTGCAGTACCTGAAAGAGCAAACACCTGCTGCACCATTACCAAACTTCAATGAAATGTGCCTTCAGTGCATCCACAGTACATCCAGAAATCTACAAATTACTCACAACATAACATCAAGACATAATTAAACGGAAGTAACTTAAAAAAAGGGGGGGCGGGGGGGGATAATCCAAATTTTATTAACAGCTTTTCAAACCAAACTAATTTCAGGTTCTAGTATCATCATGTTGACATCCCCCTCCAACTCCATCTCCACTGTCGATACCAAATGTGCATTTTCCTTGTGTCGCTGATGTGCACCAGCGGTCAAACACATCTCAAGTCTCTGTCAACAACAGCACTGGGAGGTTTGCCCGCCAACACTGTCCCAGGAAGGGATTCGGACAAGCTGAACGGTATCCTGGGATCATATGTCATCCTCTTCGTCTTCATCCTGAGAGGAACCGGCCTGTTGGGCAGCAGTGGCAGATGCTGCCGCCATCTGTGCCTGCTGGGCGGCCTGCTGCATCTGCAACCATTCCTGCTGAGCGAGTTCTGCCTGCTGCTGTCGCGCCTTCACAAACACATGAGAGGCATGAGACAGGCGAAGGTGAATGAGGATTATATCAGGCAATTAGAGAAGCTCATGGTGGTGATATCTGATGTCTAATTAGAACTTGAATATTTTAAGACACATTTGTTTTATATGTCACTATAGCATTGAACATTGAAAAAAATGAAAATAAAGTTTCTGCAACATATTACTATCGCTGAATTATACTTGCTTATACTTGTTTCTAGAAAGGGATTGAGTTAATAATTAGCAAAGTACTGCTGAAAGTTAACTAAATGGATCTGTCATGCATTACTGAACAGTATAGTGCAAATAATGTGCCTCAAGTGGTTATATGTAACAGCCACTCAGCACACAGATGATTTAAATCGGACATGGCTTTGTTGCATTTCTCCCTAAAGGTTTACTCATTTCCTAAGGAACTTAGCCCAAAACAAAAGACCAATCACAAAAGACCTACTTCAGAAAGACTCAGATCTCTACATAATGTGAAGTTCTGGTCCAATAATTTTGTTTATTATAACATTTCTGAGCAATCATAGTTGTGCTGGTTTGTTTAATTATTTTTTAGAACACAGTGTGGCAGCAATAAATTTACATTTTCAATTCCACTGTTTTCGCGGACTCTGAAAGCAGCACAGAATGATTTCCTCTAGTCAGAACTTCAAAAACAGCTATGCTCAGTTCAGTGGCTGTTGGAAGCACCTGGACATTTTCTAACAGCTGCTTTTTATCATTTTATTATGTCTTTGCTGTTTTTAAACCTGATTTTTAAATGCCCCTCAGAGTTAGACTAAATGACCTGGTGTGGAAGTCAGTTCCCTGAGCTGATTAATGGGTATTTGTACTGTTTCTTGTGTCTCCTCTCTCAAAATCATACCTTTGCAAACAATTCCTGTTGTTGTCTGAGGAGCTCTTCTTCAGGGATGCCCAGGTTCTCCAGTCTCGAGCTGGCCTTCCTCCTCTTCAGAGCAACAGTTTTACACTCCTGCAGGACGTCTTTCACCTCCGTGATGTACGATGCGAAACCGAGGCTCTCGAGCGCTGCGGTGCGAAAGCAAGAGGCGAAAGTGTTTCAATCACTCTCTGTGGTTTAAGGCTCATTACATGGTGCTGCACACACATACACACACCTTTCAGGGTATAGGGAAAACAAAGCTGGACTCACCGTTGATGACATGCTCTGGGGAAATGGTTTTCTTCTCCGACTTGTTGCATATATCATTGGCTTCTGAGGATATGAGGTGGATGAACTCTGTGCAGCAGTTAACAACAAGCTCCCTGGCATCGTTGGCCACCCGTACATTGGGGAGAGTTTCTTTAATCATTTTGTTGATAGCTGCTCTCGGGATGGTGAGGTCGTCGTCATTTCCAGAGGAAGAAGCCATCGTGGCAGTCGACGGGACAGAAACCAGGGAAAAAAGAAAGAGAAACTCCGATACTCGACGGAAGGAAACTGTTACGAGGCCTTCTCGGGCCGGCAGAATTAAAATATAACGGTCAGGTCAAGACAACGTCAACGCAGAGTTAAATGTCATATGGGAGAGTGACGTTCCTCCAAGTTAGCCGGCTAGCTTAGCTAGTAGCTAATAGTTGAAACAATTTTCGCAGAGTGGAGCCTTTGTGCGGAACGTGGTAGAAAAGAAACCGTTAGAAAACGCTAAAGCACATACACCATAAAAGAAGACAAAACGTTAATACTGTGTGGAAAATGCTTAGCTAGCTAGCAGCCAGGCTAGCTAGTAGCTGTGGTCCCTGTCGCCAGAAAGCCGCCGCAACGCAAAAGACAAGTGAAAGCGGAGAGCATGGCTACCGCTAGGCTAACAATGAAGTGCCTCCCGCATGGCTAAACAGTTAGCTGCATAGACACAGAAACGGGACACACGTGCCACAACACTGCCTGTTGTTCTACCCTGCATCGAGAGATGATTTGGACATTTTAGATAAGCTGAAACATGGTATCGATTCGTTTATACGTTTGAAATGTGGGCAACATTAGCTTAATTCAGTCCGGATGCAACGTCAAACAAAGAGCCGGATACCCTTCTTCTTCTTTGGTGTTTAAAGCCTGTCTGAATCGCATTGCTGTGGCCTTGTGGTATTTGTCGTCCATTACTGCCCTTAGAAGATATGTTTGGAGAATTAATACAGATGGTGGAAAAACATCGAGATCAAAACAAATAAACTGAATATGTACTTTTTTACATTATCTATATATTTTGATGGTAGCTAATATTTCGTATACAGTCAGAGGACCGAATCCCATATGCACCTCACATCCAAAACATAAAAGATGAGGCCAATCCATAGCTGATTGTGTGAGTTTTATATCCAGGTATGTTTTTACTACATTATCTTTTAAAAAAATGAAGCTGTTGCCAATCAGATGCTTTCCAGATGGTCTTGTTGTACCAATCTCCCGAATTTCACTTTTTTGTTTGTTTTTCATATTCACCATTCCATAATACCTGTTTCCATTGATCTTCAGTCCAGTTCAGCAATTTCTCCCTGTGTCCATAATTCCAGTGAAACCTCTTCTAATGAAGCTTCTGTTCATGGATCAACTGATAGTCTTTGCTGGGGTTTTTTGTATTAAGGACATGATTTCCAGAGACTTTTCATTTGCTGTACATAGTTTTTCAGACCTTCCACTTCTTCTTTTGTCCTCCACTTGTCCAGTTTTCTCAACAACAACAAAAAAAGCACACAGTGCAATATGCCAGGTTTTCGCCTAATAGTTCAGTGGGATTTATATTGTTGGTGCAACAACACAAATTATGTGCTTTGGTGACAGGCTGCTAGTAACAAAGTGCCTAAAGACATCGCTTAGAATGGGTTCTTTGCTAAGCTGTCTGTTATGTGTTTACACAACACTGGTTCGTGTAGTGAACCAGTATCTTTGTACAGTACTGTATGTTACCCTCGTGTGGTAAACATAATTATCAAGAGCATCTCTTTTAACCCTGTTATCTCCTCCCCGGAAGGGTACGTCTGATAACGTGTCTACTAATGCTTTTTCATGTATATTTTTCAGCACAAGCACAGATCTTGCTGAAACAAATTTGAGCCGCAGTCATTTATGGCCCTATTTCTGCAATAATTATCTATTTTATTTTTGGACTTATCAGTGTTCAGCAGCATCCAGACTGGTTTCACAGATGTTTGAATTTCCTAATAATTGTTTACTGCCATCTAGTGTCCATCAAGAGAATACCAGCTTTTATTTTATTATTTTCTTTTTATATTCTAACATGATCAATTTTCTAACCAAAGCCTGTCAATATCCTACAAAAAATAAATAAATAAAAGTTTTCTCACATTAAAGTCCATGTGGCGCGAGGCTCAGAATTCAGCGGCTATATTCCAGATTAAGCCATGAGTAATTATGTTATGTAATCCAGCAGATTAAGATAAGATAAAATAACCTTTATTAGTCACACACAAGATTATGTAAGATATACATAATCTTCTGACACTGTAACAGAACCCATTAACAAAACAATGCTTTTAAAAAGACAAAAAGTTCATAAATTAGTCGTTATAACTCTGAACTACCTGATTTACTTTGATTTAATCTTGCTGTTCGCATAGCTTTGCTTGTTTCCCATATTACACAAGGCTCAAGGGCTTGTCAACTTAAGACAGTTATGCCACTTGAATGCACCAGGGTGTGGTTTAAACCTGCAAGAGCTTACTGCCACGTATGAAAAGAGACTGCATTGTCATGGCATTTCATAGCTTTATTTATTTCAGGGAGGTAACACTGCTAGACAATAACAGCCAAATATGCCCATGTCACAAAAATAACAAAGATATGACATGATTCAGTTGCTCTTCTCTAACTTAAAACTCTTTCGGCTTCTCCACTGCAAAAGCTTGATGAAGTTCAGGCTGGCCGTGAAGACCTTGTCGTGTTCAAACACCATTTTGTAAAACGTTTCAATCGGGAGGTCACCATTTGGGTCAGCGTACTTGAGTGTGGTCATAGGGGTATAGAGAGTGTTTGTCTGGTGCCGGAAAGGGGGATTGTCCATGATGAGGATCTTGAGGGTGTGCTATGAAGAAAGATCATTCATAATATAGTTTATTGCTCTTGTAGTGCATTAAAGGTTAAAGGTGAAGTATTTGCCGAACGATACCTCTGCCACGTCCTCAGGAGTCTGTCCGAGGGTTTCAAAGATCTGTTTGTAGTTCTTTAAGTAGACATTTGTGAACATGTCAGCAGTCACTTTGTCTGCTTTGCTGAGATCAATCTTTAGGCCCTCGTCATAAACCTTACGCTCAAACTCGGTTATCACTGGACCTGGCTCTATCAGGCTGATGCTGAGGAAGAAACAGAAGAGAAGAACATCAAAAAATCTCTTGAAATAGGAAACTGAAATTCAGTGCACAACTGTGAAAGGTAATTAAATATTACTTTCATTATACAGGAAACTTTAGAAACCACATTAATATTCAGTCATCATTTGATACTGTGTTAGAGCATGCCTAAACATCACAGTGTGCTGTGGTTCAAATATTTTCCTCCTAATGGTGCAGAAAGTGTTAGTGTTGTTGTTCAATATGACTTCACAAATATACCAGATGCAAGGGCTAGTTTTCAGGTAGTTACATTTTGGTTGCACTTTTTTTCTCTCACAAACATGCTAGTAAAAGATGAACAGGAATAAAAAATTATAGACCTAGCATCTTACTTTAGACCAAACCTCAGGGCTTGTATCGCTAGGCTTTCACAAAAGCCTTCCAGTGCAAACTTAGATGCTGCGTAGATATCGTTGAATAAAATCCCTGAAACAGGGAAAGAAGTTGTGAAGCAACTGTCTTAAAAAATGTTCTCATGATCAGCAGGTGAAGCAGCTCTTACCCTGAATCCCCATGACGCTGCTAATGACCACAATATGACCTTTTTTCCTTCTCTTCATGTCGGGCAGGATTTCCTTCATTAATCGCACAAGTCCAAAGAAGTTGGTGTCCATGACACTTTTCATCTCTTCAATAGACTGACACTCAATGGGTCCAATCAGACCCATCCCAGCATTACTTACTGTGAAATAAGGTCACACAGATACATATCATTTAAATTTCCACAGACGGTCGAAAAGCCAAATTAATACTGTTTCGAAGCAAATGGTAGGAGCTTACTGAGAATGTCTACCCTGCGCTCAGGCAGACTGTCCACGCAGGCTTTGATGGAAGCCTCGTCACATACGTCCAGCTGCTTGATCTCCAAGGTCCGGCCCAGGGTCCGACCTGCTGCCTCAACCAGAGGCTCAGCCTTACTCAGATTTCTCATGGTGGCATAGACTACAACAACAAAAACTCATCTGAAGCTGTTGTATTTTTATTAAATTTAGAACTGAAATTAAAATTTTACATTACATTTGAGAAACTATCACAAAAATTATCTCCACCAGGAGCAGCAAATGTGGATTTTTCTCAGATTTCAACTTTCAGGTGTTGCCTGTTACATCAGTACGACATGGTTACTAGTTGCTCAGGGTAATCAACAGACCAGGAGGACCATTTCTTCCATAAAACATGTTTAAGATAAAAACTGTTGATGGTGAGCTGTATGGATTGTTTCTGGAACCAGAGTTAAAAAAAAAAAAAGAACTTGTCAATATTTTGTTTGTAGAAGAAACCCATCACATATTGATAATGTAAATAATGTGAATTTTATCAAGTTAATATCCTTCTAGTGAATGGTTTCAAACTGGTATCACATTTGCACAGTTAACTTTAATGAATAGTCTGCAAAGTGTTAATAGTAGAAATTCTTGAGCCAGACACAGCAGCCATGTAAAGTTCAAGGAAAGTTCAAGTACATGTGAGATGGTAATATTTTAAAACATCCTACACACTTCCAAAAAATTCAAAAGGAAAACACATTTTTACACCATTATGTGCTAGTTTTTTTCACATAGTTCCTCTAATTTCTCTCATTTGAAGCATTTTCAATCACAATTTAAACACATTATATTTTTCTTTGATCCCTCCACACCTGACACAGAGTTTTGAAATGTAGTCAACAACCCCAGCTATCTTAGAAAAAGTCTGTTAAAAAGTTACCCATGAACCTCTTCTTCTCATCTTTTGCAATATGGACAGCCAATGCGAGGCCAATCCCAGAGGAGCAGCCGGTGATGAGTACCACCTTCTGGTTCATCGTGCCTGGTTAGTGCTTTTCTTGCAGCTCCAGCAGTAGAGAATAAAACGGGAACAAAAGAGGAGGGGCAACAGACCACATGCGGGCGCTTTTAAAGCCCCTTCCTTAATCAGAGGTTTACAACTCAGCAAAAAGCTGTGTGCACATGGTCTGAAGATTAGTATCATTCGTGGCATTCACATGGTGCTGTTACATGGTGAGGATTTAGGCTAATGATAAGTCCAGTTGTAATATGAAGAAAATATCAGACCTATAAGCAAAGTGCATCATCTTATTTAAATAAAATAAAATACAATCAGACAATGGTGAAATGTTTTATTTAAATTTGGAATTTCCCACAAATTGTTTTGCAACAAAGACAGCAAAAGGTAAATTCTTTGTAAAAATATGGAGAAGTTAATTTGTGGTTTTTAAAAGAATCTATTTAAAACACAGTTTTCAAAATAATTTTGAGTAAATTGTAAGGCCACACTTAACCTAGACAATGTAGTGGGTTGGGTTTTTTTTTAAAGTAGATGTAAAGTAGATGAAAAAAAACATTCATTGCTGTAGCAAATAAAACTTTCTCAACATTGTATTTTTATTTTTTTTTACTGTGGGCTGTGAATTATTAAATTCAGTTTTTTAAATATGTACCCTACTGCTCAAAGTTTTGAGATAAAAAATAAGTTTTGAAAATTAAAGTCAAGTTCGTGAGAAATGCTATTAATATTTAACATGAACATTGGTTTTTTTTTTATATCTATGCTGACACACACACAGGCCCGTTTTCACCAACTGCCATTCATCTGTTGTAATAGCACGCTGAGTCACCTAAAGCAAGTCTATCCCATTAAATTCATTAATCATTCAATTACAATCATCTCAGCACATCTAAAGTTTGTGAAGCTGAGTCAGTGAGTTTGGTTATAGTCTCAAGAAAACAAAACAAAAAAATAACGTGTAGTGCTTTAACAAAACAGGAATAAGTGGCTCTGACTGAAAACTAGAGAGCACAACTGAGTAGGACAGCTAAATCAGAAACCTTTTGGTTCCAAAACAGACACCTCACAGGTCCTTAAATGACAGATTCATTAAATGATATCTCCAAGAGCCAAATTTTGTTGGTTTGTCATGAGAATACCTAAAGCTGCTGTATGAAAATTTCAGTTATCCGGTCATTTTCTCCTATAGCCTCAAACAGCCTTCATTTATTAGAAAAACTTTAAGATGATACATTTTCTTTGGGTTACACATGTTACTGGAACACAGCACTGACAGCTGCTGAAAAGAGCCTGAATGCACTTACGTAGATATTGCCTTAAAAATCAGTAATTAATCATTACTTCTCTTCTATAACATTTATGAACATTTTAATGTTATTTTGTGTAAAAGCCAATTTACTTTTCTTTTCTTAAACAGTAGCTTGACTATATATATATATATTTTTTTTTTTTTTACTCTGAAAAAATGGGTTGGAAATCGGATGGGTTACGTTTTAACCTGCACCACAGCTTCAAGCACATATTTGCATCTGCACTTCACCTGCAGAGAAGTTCCATCTTAGGTGCCAATTTATGCTTCAAGGTCAACAAAAAATGGCAAACATCAAAACTATCCAGATTTTTCAGAGATGCTTAAAATATGCGTTTATTCCAATTTAATTCTACTGGGCATAAAGATTTTGGGACCACATCTTTGGGTCCCAAGCTTGGAACCATCCGGTGAAGGACGGGATCTCTTCCCCCTGCTTAAGGATGGTGATCGGGGTACCACGGCGGCCAGAGGGGTCTGAATCCACATATTGTTTGGCTGAAAGGAAAGCAGGATGTATTTGTGAACTGAGGTCTCTTCTGTACAGTAGGCTTAAAGGGCCATTCACTATAACCACATTCAATTTGGAGCTAAAATTATAGGAAGAGTGGTAAATTTAGAAATGAATGTAAAATAATATTTTTTAATATTCTTTAAAATTATTCAGTCATAAATTTGCAAGATTAAAATCTTAAATGTCCAGCAAAAATATTTTATTCTCTGAGAGTAAATCAACAAATTTACAAACAACATAATATGAGAAAAAACAGTCTTAAATTTCTGAGCTTATAGTCAAATTTTTGAGAAAATAAATTTGTAAATTAATAATCTCAAATATTAATCTAAAGAAATTGTTTTTAGGTAAATTTGGTCATTTCCTTACTCATAAATTTACAATAGTTATCTCAAATAAAATATATTTGCTATCAGAATTAATATCTATAATTCAAGCCTTATTTTCTGGGAAAATGATTCCCTCTATATATGTTTTTATTCTCCCTGAATTGACCCCGTTGCTGTATTTCTGTAATTCCTTCTCATGTCTAATAGTTTTCTCTTACCCATCTTAGGTGATTCAAGTTTCTCCGTTTCATTTGCTTCGTTTCCAATCCAAACAAAGATCTGATGGGAACAGTAATCAAAGAGCTCAAGGATCAAAAGGAGGAAAACATCAACTAGCTACAACTCGAGTCTTTCATCAAAAGTGCTTTTATACCTGATCCCATGTGTCCAGAATCATGACATCATCAGTGGCCAGATCGATCTGTGAGAAGTCCCCGGGAACTTCCTCAACCTGAAAATTGATCAGCACACAATTACAAAGTGGCCATTTAAAAATTGTTAAACTAGTTGGTAAGAAAATAATATAACTGTTTATATAAATATAACTACTTACATTTAAAAAATCTGATTGATGAACACTGAATACTCACTGTTAGCCTGCCAGTTTTGTTTGAACATCCAAACAGTCGTGGTTGTCGGACCACTCCCTGAAGGGCCTTGGACGTCTGGTATTCTTTCTTACCACCCAGAGCAGCCCAGAAAACAGCTGGAAACAAGGAGAAAAGGACCGTTTTCTACTGGGGACATCTCACAAATACTACTTTGTGGAAATCAAAGCTCTTTACCTGGCTCCTGTGTCTCCTCCACCCCAGTAGCAGTTCCTCCAAGGAGGCTGGCAACATAGTTAGCTGCAGCCATCTCATCTGAACTTGCACCCTTTCCCTTCCACAGGAAAAGGCAATCAGGAGTCTTCAGCACAAACACATCATTGGTGTTCAGAGAGGATGCAGTGGGCTCCACCTGTGTGGGTGTGACAGAAAGATAGGGAGGAGTGGTGGCATCTGTTCATTATAAAGAACCAGTTTATTAACATTCAGTGTAAAAAATGAGGCTGACCTCAACAGCTCGTGTGGTATTGTTGCCGCTCTTGCGGATATGAAAGAGCCGTGTGCTGCTTGGCTTAGTCTCGCCACACTTGCGGGATGTCCCACCCTGATGGATGACCATGGGCTTGTCCTTAAACAAGCTCACAAGATGGGGGGGTTCTTTACCTTGAGTGACCCGAACCTGCGGAGATACAGCCACACAGCCATTAAAATTGATGAGGAGACTGATCCCAGACTTATCTCTAAGTACAGCTGGGAGCTGGTTAATAGGAGCTCAGGGTAAAGACTGAAAACAGGGGACAGCAGTTCCAATGTATGAAGGTTAAAAACATCAACCTACCTCTTCTTCTCCAGTTTGTACAGTTTGTATACTAAGCTAACAGCTGCAAGATGCCAAGGAGGTCATGTTTTTGGTAGTGTCTGCATGCATGTCATCTTGTCAGTTTGTAAACACAATAGCTCAAACATTTTTGAATGAATTCTGATAACATTTTGTAGGTGTGTTGAGTGGGGTCTTATTAAGACCCCATTAAAATCTGGTTTAAATCCACCAAAGTCTTCAAGGTCAACTTAATGATTTGTTGGTTGAAAATGGAAAAAAAAGTCTGTTAATGTGAATGATTTTGCAAGTGTGTTGTGTATTTTATTGCTTCTTGTTCATAATATAAAAGATGGACCTGAGAGTTGCATCATTCCTTTCACTAACTGTTACCAGGTACTTTTATTTCTTAACATTTTAACTCTTACTTGAAATCTGGAAAAATCTTACCTGTGTTGCTACTCCATTCATGGAATCATCCAGCTTGACGGTGAGGAAGGCCGAAGCAGTCAGTTCATCCTGAGTGCATTTCTGCCCTTGCCTACAGCAAGCAAAATTAAGCACAATTAAATATGATATTCACAATTAAGGCATAAAAGTAATGTTTCAAAAACTCTTGATTCTCTCAGCACCCTCACACAGCTTACAAAAAACACTAAATACATAAACTGACTACCCACAATTATATTTTATTATTTTACCACAAGTTTAAGAAATCATTAATGTTGTTGTTTTGTTTTTTTTATCACAATGTCATGAGATTTCAGCAGTACTATAACTGGTAACTGCTTTCATTCTGTGGCATCATCATATCAGACAGACAGAATGGATGTGATGAAATTTGTTACATTTGCATTCCACTCTCAGATTATTTTAATATTGGCACTCATTTAATTCTAGAAACATTAAAACTGCTTTAGGTTGATTCAGAAGGGGTCGGCATAGCAACCTCAAAGGGGATTGTGTCTCCTCCCAGGATTTTAGAATCATTAATGGGTCAATGTGTATAAACTCTGCCTAACATGCCTGCAACTGAACAATCCCACCAGCTTTGATCACTTTCATTTATTGGTTCATCTACAAATTCTGCATCATATTAAAGAGTGGTTGAAGATAAAGCAAAATTTCTCTATATCAAGGCCAAAGCCTTCATGAATAAAAAGCTTGTTACAAAGACCAGTATGCTCTACAACTCAGTGGCTTTACTTCTGTGTGTGTTGTGTCACAAGTTCATATCATGCTTACATTTTTCATTCACCTAAACAGAGAAAGTGAGTACCAAGGCAGGAATCTTTGCCTTGTACCCCTTAAAAGACCAATTCTGCCACATTGAGCATGTTTTACGCACCAGGTGTAAATGATGTGCTTCTCTCTGCTTCCACTGTTGTAAGAGTACAGCACCAAGTAACAGTCACCTCCAAAGAACTGTCCATAGGTGGATTTGTCCACTGCTACCTTATCGCCTCCTTCCACACGCCAAATCTGCAGACATCCACCAATGTTGCATTTACTTATTAATTTTTAAAATAAATAAAACACTGTCAAGCTGGTTACTGTACCTGAACTTTCCCAGAGCCATCATCAACCACGCCATACTGGGCAGCCATGGCGGGGTTGTTGTGGAGATTGGATGGGTCGAAGGGAATCTGCTCCACCTTGGCAATACGACCAACTGTGTGGGTCTGCCCTGGGCCTGTGATATTCCCTTCAAACCATTTGAAGAAGAACTGCTTAAACATGGTGGGCTCACTCCCTGCTGGCACTATCAGGACCTGCACATGATATAATAAACAACGAAAAACACCTTAAGTCATAAACACAATGAGACAGCAGAAGGATGAAGTTCTGGCAGCAGATGATCACTACATGCTAACATTACCTGAGTTTTACTGGAGTAATTTTTGTCTGCGATAAACTTGTCAGCAGCAGCCTTCGCTGCTTTGCGCTCCTCTTTGCTTGCTTTCTGTCCTGCAGATTAAAGTTTGGTACAGAGATCAGAGAGGTTAAACTGGTCAAATCAAAGTCAATGACTCATGTGTGTTTAACAGTAGAAACCATCAAATGGTTCATTATGATTCTTTTAAAAATTGTGTAACTCTGTTAAAATAAATCCACATCATTACATATTTCATGATTTTTTTTTCCTATAAAAGGCTTGTTTATCAAACAGGAAATTTGGGGGTCTGTAGGAAAAAGCTTTATGACCACATATACCTAGAACCACATATTTCCATATGAAAGCTGCTCAATGACAGAGGGGGTATAGCTCAGTGGTAGAGCGTTTGACTGCAGATCAACAGGTCCCCAGTTCAAATCTGGGTGCTCCCTGTTCATTTAAGTCATTATTGCAATATGATAACTTTAAGTGTTATCCGTTTATAGTAATTAATATATTTAAAATTTATGTTTTTTGTAGACAGCTATGAGGTCAGTCATGAAATATCACCAATGAGTTGTTTGATCTGTTTCACAGTGAGCTCAAATTCAGTTTTAGCGTTTCCTAATAACAGTCTTATTCTATAATTATTTGTTGCACCTTTTTGTTTATTAGTTTATTCTAATACACATTTTATCTGTACAATCCATACTGATCTGCATGTAAAAATTTATATTAATTATATTTCTTATTTGATGACAACTAATCTTCAAAAAAAAGGGAAAATTTTCTTTCCCAATATTGCTGTTGCAGGATGGGGTCAAACTGACACCCACTGACAGTACTTGGGGTTTAAAATTCTTCTAGGTTCTAGCGTTAAACAAAGAGTTTAACGCTGAAGAGAGTTAGTAACAACTTACTCAAATGAGCAGAGACTTGATTAATATAGTAGATGAGAAGTTGTAGAAATAAACAGATGTAAAAGCTTAATACCTTTCCAGACAAATATATTATTATTCAATCCATTGTCCAAGATGTAGCAATCATTCTGGTTGAGCATATCTTGTTTGAATGGGTTTTTATCAGCCACCAAAGATGTCTTCATGGCACCAGCAGCATCAGAAATCTAGACAGCAGAGAGATCAGAGCATCTGTATTTGTCATCTGAATGTCTTATTTACAAGGATCATGTCAAGGGACCATACACTACGGTTGAAAGTCTGACAGAGTCTTAAATAATCTCTCATATTTTCATCTAAACCTTGAAATGATCCCATAGTGTTAAATTACAGAAGCCTATACACAATCCACACAGGAAGGAATGAAGAAAATCAAACATTTAAGTTTTTCCTCTATTGTTAGCTAGATCAGATTCATCTGAAGCACATGGTATAGTGGCATTAACTATGCTTGACTGCCTTGTGTACAAAGCAATACACAACGCAGGTAGGATTTCCACTGAAGCAGCATTCAGATAAAACTGTATTACAAAGAACAGATGAAACGTTTTAATTGATTCATTAGAGGCGTGTTGAGGGAAATCACCTTGCAGCCCCTGCACCTCTTTTCAGCACAGTGAAATCAAACTCAGCATCAACTCTGCACTTGAATGAGGGCTTCAGTTTTAATGGGCTTTTCCATGACAATATGAAGAATCTGTGGAAATTGTAGCATCAACCACAATCGCGCAGACTACAGGTAAGAGAGAATGCAATCAGCAAAAGTCTTGCCAGCAGAAGGCTGTGCAGGGGAGATCTCAGTGCATGGATGGATAGCATCAGGGGTAATAAGAAACCCACCATCATTTATTAACCTATACTGTGCTAAACATTTAAGATGGGCTGAGATCTTTAAGAGCATTTCTTCCTCAATCACCTGATCTCAACTCCACTGGATGTATTTTGGGCACATGAAGACTGAGAAACCCCCGAGGCTCTTTAAAACACAATGGCAGGATAACATGGATAAGCAGGTGTTACAAAGATTTATAGCGTCCATGGAGCTTGAGGGCTGCAAAACTGGAGCAAATCAAATTCGTGGACATTTTTTTTAGAAATAGAACTTCTGATTTAAGCTGTTCAGCCAACATGAAATTTTGCAATAGAAATGCCTTTTACTAGACTAAAAATGAATACAAGTAGAAGTTTTTTCACTGCTGCTCCTTGACTTTTTGGGCTTCTCTGTATGTGTGTATTTACCAGATAAAGTGACGCCTTGTTCCTGTTTGTCTTTTCAACATCTGTATCACTGCCTCCTGGTGCAAGATCAGGCTTGGGTCCAAGTACCTATAATGAATACAACATTGTACTTAACATCCTCTCTAGCCACCAAATGAGACAAATAACTTATTTGTTACAGTCACAATGATTCTAAACAAGGAGGAAGTCATTAAAACTTACCTTTGTCACAGCTTCTGGCTCTTTACCTTCATCAATTGTATGGACTTCACCGCGGCCATTTCGCTCATTATCACGAATATCTCGGGCCATCTGAGTGGTTTTGAGCTTCTCAAAGTGATTTGCTTCACTGCCAAACCAGCAGTAAATGTTCTATTAATTCACAGAGAAGATGCAAAGAAAAGAAGACGTAAATAAGGTTGAGATGACAAAACGCAACATCTAAACTCTGTACGATCTCTGTAAAACATTTTAAATTGTAGATCACCTTTCCCAGATCAATGATGAAGGAGTCTCCTTTGTTAAAGCTTTGCCAGGACAGATCCTCCTCAGTTGCTCTGACTGGTCGACGACCTTTCAAGTGCAGCAGGCGTTTGACATCTACATCATTGGTTACCACATGTTTAAAGCCTGAGGCAACTCCGCCTTTCTGTGTTAAAAAAAATCTGAGTTATGCTCTGTGTAAGTGATCTAAGCGCATAAGTTATGTTTTTGGCAGCGTACCGTATAAAGTACCATATAAAGATTTAAAATATTGTGTCACATCTGACCCCTGACCTCTCCTGCAAGGCCAATAGATTGATAGGAAGCCAAAGTGATACTAATGCTAAATACAGCTTTTTAAATCTATTTCTTACTGACATTTTTCCCCCTCCTGGACCTCTGACCTGTTCTTCAAGGTCAAACTTTAATAAAAATGTATTTTATCTTTAAAACAGTACTTAAAATTCTACTATATTTGTACTGGCAAAAGTAAATGACACTGGTATACTGGGATCTAAATATCACATTATAGTTTCCATCCAAGTAGCATGTCTTCTTTGACCTGTGTCCTCACTTTTAAATTTTAGATCTGCCTTTCTTTCAAGTTGACTGAAAAGCATGTTATATCTTTAAAGAAAGTACTGTCAGTAGAAAGAAGATGACCTGCCTAGTTAGTTAGAAATAGACTGTAGTATAATATAATATAATAAGCTAAAGTTATTCATGTCCACTTATTTACAAATCAATAGCTTTTATCCATTACCCACTCCTGTATAATCTTTTAGTAATCAAGGTACCCTTAACTGATATACAAAATACAGCACAGTGAGCTGCTTATAGAGGAGGTCTGTGCTTTCGGAGTGCTTTTTATATGAACGTTTTAGAAAGCTGACACCGCTGTTATGTCTGTAGTTGCTCTAGTTGCAAGAATTCACTTCTTTAAAGTCAACATAATCTCTAAAGATCACGCCTACTCGTTTGTTTACACTGTGCACAAAATGTCAGCAAATCCTACCGCTGACTGGAAAAAGACATAAATAAAAGGCAAGAGCAGGTACGGCAAACCTGACAGACAACTAGCTTTGTTTCTAGGAAGTCAGTTCCTAGAAACAGTCCAGCACATAAATACACAGTATGCTAAACATAAAAAAGTATGTAGTCTTTGATTCTGAAAAGTGAAGCAAATGCAGGTGCTTTGAATTGTCATGATGATTGAAAACACAAGTTTCCGTGCCATTTTCATTCCAATAAGCACTGTTTTTGTTTATATCTCAATAGTTTAAGTAGCACAATAGTTGGACCTTTTTTCGCTCTCTGTTTTTATTTTATATACTAGTCCTTTAGTTCTTAACACAGTTTCATAACCCAGTGCTAAGAGGCAGGAAAACTAGTTTGTAACCAGGATTTCCCCTCTTTGAATGAACAAGTGGTGTAAAAATGCAGGGAATCTTCTTTATTGAATTCCACCATCCATTTAGTTCTGGTCCTCTAGTTATCATACTTATACAGGATGATCATCAATATGCAATAAAGTAATAATTTCTTAAAAATAGTTCTAAACCCAGTATTACTTCTCGTGACAGCTTTGGCTATGGTAGATAGGAGTTTAGCTGCATAAACATGTGGCTGACAAATATGCACGAATGATATGAAGCAATCATGATAACATCGAGCATTATCTCAAACAGCTGTTTTCAGGTCGTAGCAGGTCGTAGCAATTACTAAGGCAGTTCTAATGCTGGAGATTGATCAGTGAGTCTAAGGACCCTGTTAAAACTGAACACATAAAAAAGAAGTAAATACAGAATTAAAAGATGGGGCCTTAATTATTTAAATGGTTTATGCTCATATATTACATTTCAAGGAAACCCAGGTGTTCACCAAACTTCTCAAACCTGAGGCTTATAGAATGCGTTCTTTAGAATAGACAGCATGACACCATAATATTCAACATAATATTTTAGGTCTCCCTGACTATCTAAATGTTTTTAGACTCAAATTCTCATAATATAAAGAAAGATTTCAGACTCTTGTATGTCGCCATGTTTTGCCTCTCCTTTTTCAGGAATTGTGAAAGGGAAAAATTCTTTTGGGCCAGTGTGTATCACATGATAAACAGAGAAGGTGTTATAACATGCCTCGAATCCTGCACACAGTGACTATACTCCTCTGCTTGTCCTGAAAAGACCTGCTCATGTCTAACAGGGGGAAAAAAAACCCTGTTTAAAGGACAAATTCAAGGAAGAATGATCATTCCTTTTCCTATGACAAACAAGAGCAAGGTCCCAGTCAGACTAGTCGCTCATTTTGGAGTTGCGTGGGTGGTGAATTATGACTTTTTAGAGCCGTTTCCTTGCCTGAAGCTGTAACAGTATATTTACAGAGTTGACAGACATGCAATAAACTGTCACAAAGTCACAGTCATGGTTTGGTAGCTTAGACTCACAACTTTTACCTTTCTGAGGCAAACAAATTCAAATGACTTATACCACCATAAGTACGCATGCAAATTTCACCTTGTATTTGATGCCAGACTTGAAGTAGCCCAGGAAGGTGGTTGACTCTTGGTTTTGAAATTCATTGTACTGGATTGCAGCTCCTTTCAGGTGGTCATCCAGCTGAGTTATGAAAATGGCAGCTGCCCCACTCTCATCCTGGGAAGCTTCATCGCCTAAGATAAAAAGGATGGTAAATAAACAGTGTGGAAAATAAAACAGAACATTGACAGGGAGGGAATTTAGCTATTAGGTTGTCAGCAGAGAATCCAATACCAATCCATGAATGAACATTGTATGAGGGAGCCTTGGTGGTGTAAAGCAAGATGTAAGCATCTCCGGTGAAGAAGTCTCCATAGAGTGCAAGGGGAACAGGTTTCAGATCCATGTTCTCCACCCGCCACACCTGCAGGCCAGGCTTCTTCCCTGCAGTCTCAAACTCTTTGTGTGCCATCGTGATGATGAGGACCTGAAAGGTGATTTGTCTTCATTAAAATCTTCAGGTCACAACAAGGCCAACAGCTACCATTATATGACTTTTGGTTGGCAAAAAGAAGCAATTTTCACATCATTCTCTGACAATTTAGAGACTCAGCAATGAAAATAATCGATTGTTGGAGCCCCAGTTTTATATATAAATAGATATAAAATCTGTCTTCATACTGAAAGCTGCTGATCCCCACTTTCTTTTAAAGCCATCTGTAGTTCACATCACAACATTTTATATTACTATTTCAGTTACTTTTCATTGAATCCATGTTTATTAAGAATGCAATTTTCAAGAACTTTTCTGCAGTATCTGTTACTTAACCTGCGCTGCTTAATTAAGCTGCGGTCGGTACGCATATTACACGGTGTGTCTGCTCTCAGTGGCAAACTATGTTGTGGGGGAACGAAGAGCCGCTCCCAACAAGCAACCACAAAAGCAGGCATTTGTAGGTTATCTTCTGCCTGTATAATACGGTACTACTACCTTGTGCAGTTTTCTACCCAACCATGTAAAATATGGACACAAGGAAAAATGCAATAAACAACAGTTTATCGACGAAATTTATATTAAAAGCTTAACCAGTAAGAAGATAAGCACGTTTATTCACGCATTCTCTCTTTATCCTCAACGTAACTAGTTACAGACACTGAAAATAGTTTTTAGTTTGACTTCCTTAATGCAAAATGAGGAAGAGCTTTTCTAGAGTAACATACTTCAGCATTGTAAGCATCGCTTTATAAATGCTGTGTGAAAGGCTAACTGCCAGCGAGTTATTAGGATTCGTTCTGCAGCACATAAGAAAACTTTATATTACCTGATATAGACCGTAGACAGATGTTGGGTGTTAAGAAGATGCGCTGCTGCTCTTCCAGTTCTCCGCCCTGGTTTCCTGAGCTGTCCTCTGCTATATAGGCTGGACAAACATCCGCGTTGAGAGAGGCGTGTCAGTTCGCCCATCCCAGAACAGCGGGTGATGGAAAACAACGCCCTTGAGTTGGTTTAGTTGTTTTGAATGCTTTTTTTTTTCGTCTTGAAAGCCCAGTATGCAGCTCAGTTCCGTATTCCCCCTTCCCTATTTCGATTAAATTGGAGCGGTGGATTTCTACCAAATTCTGCCGAATTTCATTTTTTATGTTATTATCTATGTATTATTTCTGTATCTTACAGCTTTAGATGCTGAATACTATATAGTTTGTAAAGTGTAAAGTGTCTGATTACAGCCCTGTTTTGGGCAGTGCTAAAAAAAAAGTTCCACCTCTTCCAACATTCGTGTCTGAATGTTCATGTACCAGCAATACTGGTTGTACAACACAACAAAAATAACTCAAACAAAGTCTCTCATTTTACTGGTGGGGGGGGG